TGGGAAACCGCTGTAGCCCGGGGCGGCCGTTGGGAGCCGCCGGGCCTGCCCTGCACCCGCTACCCCCAGGAGCCGCCGGGCCTGCCCTGCACCCGCTACCCCGAGGAGCCGCCGGGCCTACCGAACGACGCCTGGCTGGACGAACCCATGGTCCAGGATCCCCCCGAGACCGACACCGGCCCCCAGGTAGGCCCCGAGGGGGAGAGCGGAAGTAGCCTGGGGGCAGCCGACCCCAGTCTGGCTGCTGCATTGCCAGAGCCAATGTCAGTGTGTTGTGGCCAGGATCCCCACTGACAGCAGCGAGTTTCCGCTGCTGCTAGGGCCCCGGGCTGGGACGTAGTGGAGTGGGAGGGCCTGCGTCCCCCCTGCCACCCAACCCGTGGGTAGCCGTCTCCCCCTCTCCCAGGCCTGTTGAGGCTACTTTATATTGTTGCTCAGCCCTGACTGAGGGCCTGAGCTCTTGACTCAGTGTTTGTTGCCCCGCCCTGACCTAGGGTCTGGACGTAGATACTGTGTTTACTATCGCTCAACCCTGACCGAGGGTCTGAGCCCGGACATAACATTGGTGCCCGCATCTTGTCAGGATTGCAAGGGCTGCTGGGGGAGACCCTGCAGCCAGACAGAGTACCCTAGCCCCAGTGGGTAGTGAGTCGGTGTGGCTCCCCGCCACTCCAGAGAGGGTCGAGCCCCGGCAAACACTTGTACAGTCCTGCTTTGAGCAGGGGGTTGGACTAGATGACCTCCTGAGGTCCCTTCCAACCCTGAGATTCTATGATTTATACCAGCAAAAGCCCTAGTGTAGCTGCAGTTATTTGGTGGTATAGCTTATTTTATTTGGGGATCTGGAATCAACCATGCTGGCAAAACACCCCTTTGCTGGTACAAGCTGCCTCTAGGCTACATGTATAGCTGTACTGACCAGCATTTCCGCGTGTGAACTAGGCCTGTGTAGCAGGATTCCAATTCAAATAACTCATCCAAGCTCTCCAAACACTTTAAAATAATAAAAGCAGCCTACAAAACCCAGGAATGATTAACCAAGCACGGGGTTACATGTATACCAGCTGTGTTCGTGTATGTTCCAGCTCGGTTTTGTCTAACGCTTGCTGCTGTTATGTTGCCATGGAAAGTAGTTCTTTGTAACTTCCCAAACAAACTATGTAAATACACGAGACAAGGGAAGTTCCCAAAGGAATCCTCTGCAGGCTGCTTAGATGGATTTTTGTCCTCCTCGTTAAATCCATTTGAAGTTAGCGTTCTCCATATTTTAGTTTTGCTGTGAAATCTCTCAGCCCGGGTTAAGGTTGCCACACCTTTTAGCTCATCGCACTGAGTAAAGTTTCTGCTCTGGCCAATCTCTTTTCAAATCACAAGGGGCTGCCCCCTAGACAGATGCTTAGGACACCGTGTATTGTCACAGGTAATGCATTAAGACAAATCTTTGTTTCTTAGAAGCTCGTCTGCTGCAGATGCTAGTTGGGACAGAGCTGTTCTCTCCCCACCAGGGTCACAGAAAGGCAGGCTTGTTCCAGACCAGAATGTCAGGTTTCCACAAGAAAACAGGTTTAAGCGCTGAGGGCAGTGTCACCGGTACTCACCATGGCATTGGAGCAGTTCAGCAGGCAGATCACCACCAGCAGGAACCATCGCCGCCTGTAAGTTCTGAAGAGCACCGGTTTCCTCAGCTCAGCCGGCCCTGGCCTTTCCAGCAAGGTCTCAGAGTCGCCTGTTGTTTCCTCATCCATCTTCCCCTCCTCAGGACAGTCAGAGCTCTGCCTGTCTCTAGAAGCTGTGGTGGTGGGTGTCTGGGGGGAGGCCAGGAAGCAACGGGGTGTGAGTGGCAGACCCTGGGCACATTGTTGAGTGCACAGCACCCACTCTCCTGTCAGGCGCTCTGAATGCTGGCTGCTTTCTCCTGGGTGCAACAGCTGCACTTGGGCAAGCCTGTCCCTGCCTTTCCCTTCCTGCCTGGTGCAGCAGGAGGAGTGCCTGACGGCTTATAAAGGAGTTCCTTTTTCTGCTCCCACAACCACTCCCTCCTCCACACCCCACAGGGTCCTAGTGCTGGCCTGGCTGAAACACTGCAGCCTGCCAGCACAGCAAGTTCTGTCGGGCAAAGTCTGCAAAGCCAAGCGAACACAGCGCTGCACTCCTCAGCTGCAGTGCAAGGGAGCGAGGCCTGCAGGTGGTGGGGGTAACGCAGGCCTTCGACATGCACCACATCAACACTGCAAGCTAAGCATCGCTCCCCCTCATCCCTAGCGTGACCAGATGTCCTGATTTTATAGGGACAGTCCTGATTTTTGGGTCTTTTTCTTATATAGGCTCCTATTACTCCCCACCCCCATCCCGATTTTTCACACTTGCTGTCTGGTCACCCTACTCATCCCCCACAGCGGATTGATTTGTAGGTGGGGGGCTCTGCACAGTCCCGCTCACAGGGTGTGCTCGCTGGTGGGGCTGCTGACAGCGGTGGGTTTCATGGCAGTGCCTGTGGGCCTCCTCTCCCGCCCCCTCCTGGCCTTCCCTATACTACTCCTGAACAGCCTCAGGGCGGGGCTAGAAAAGGGGGCGTGCTGCTCTGCCCACCTGGGCCCCTTCCTGCTGCTGCTGCAGATGGATCAGATACCTCGCTGGGTGGCTCTGATTCATTCCAGAGGGTTTTATGTTTATACCTGTCCCAGCCCGGATCCACAGATCCAGAAGGGAATCGGCCAGGATTTAAGAGGCGGGCCTCTTGTCCTGCTGTATTCCCCGCTTCAGACGCCCATGTTAGGAGCCTGGTTTGCTTGGGAAGCGGGGAGAGTTTATCCAGCTTGCTGCGCCACACCCAGACTCACAGCACCTCCACCCCAAGAGCTCCTAAGGGCCATTAAAACCTGCTCCAAGCCTTGCTTCTCCAGCTTTAGCTGCCAAGCTAAAGGATCTGAGCGTATGGATAAGCCTGTCGCAGCCTCCGCTCCAGTGCTTAAAGTGGGGGTCACGAGAGGTTGTAGACCTAGTAAAAAAAAAAAATTACAAATCAGATCAGGGCACCCACTATCCTATTAAAGGTTTCAGAGTAGCTGCCTTGTTAGTCTGTATCCGCAAAAAGAACAGGAGTCCTTGTGGCACATTAGAGACTAACAAATTTATTTGAGCATAAACTTTCGGGGGCTAAAACCCACTTCATTGGATGCATGTAGTGGAAAATACAGTAGGTATGTGTGTGTGTGTGTGTGTGTGTGTGTGTATATATATATATATATATATA